AGCTATTTAGTGTGACCTTGAAGGTCAAGTTCAGAGAACAAAGTAAAACATTGAAGAAAATAAACTAAAGAGGTTTTCTTTAAAGACTTAGGCCGACCCTCAACTAACGCTCAGTTTCAAAAGTCACTATGATGGTCTAATTTCAGTAAATGTTGTGGCTTTGACTACAACTTTACACGTATTGAAGCCGGATCCTCCCCCCCCTTAACCTCAAATTTATTGTCATTTAACTCCTAATAACCCACAAGACGCCGGGAACGCACTTTACTATTATGAATGCCCATTGCCGGCGCTGATTGCTTACTATCAGGTTAACCGTCAGATCTTTTGTCAAAATATGTTACATTAAAAATCCCTACAGAAATACAGACGTTTGACTGAATTTCTCATTCAGAGCATAGCCGCCAGAGCGGTAGATTAGCTTAGGTTAGAACTGCGAACCGCACAGAAATCGAATCAACGTCAGAAATAAAGAGTTCTCTGAACTGGACTGCGGTATAATTTACTTAATAGGCTAAGCAGTTAATTGGATGGTTTATCGACGTAGTTGGCTGAGACAAATCAAATACATTTATACATATCCAATATCTATACTCAAGACTGTTACTGATCAAAAAGTTATTTGGTACTTTGAATCTGTCCCGTGTAAGCTAAGGAAATCGTACTAATATTATAAGCGCATCAGATTTTCAGTATGAATGTGTTTTTGCCTTTTTTGGAACAACATAAATAATGTTTTAACTGCTGAAAAATTGTATTACTTGCCATAACCAGAAATTTTGGGTAGAGAATTCGCTTAACGGCTGATCCATGTCCTGACATCAGACGTAAGACGACGATGAGGATGATGGACGACCACCTCGAATTAACAAAAATTTTTGTTTCAAAGATTTCCAGCACGGTGGAATGTGCGTCGAGTCCTTTAATTCTCTTCATAAATTTAAATGCACAAATAAAATAACAATGTAAATATAAAACGTTGTTTTTACGAAAAAAATTAGCTTCAATTTGACATATAATTAATGAAAATAGGTTATAAACGTATAAATTTATCGAAATGATACCTGTTTACACCTGGCTACAAAGAGGTGTGTGGTTTAGAATCTTCATATTAATTACCGTGATGTAGACGTTATTTTATTTAAAAAATAAATAAACGAACGAATTTCTTAACAAAAATCAATTAAAAATAATTTAATTAATGATAATGGCGGCTAAATATTTATAGGCACCCTAGTAAATATATATTCTATCAATTATAAATAAACATAATTTGGTTTTAAACAAAAAATCGATGAGCACACCAATCCCGCAGCGGGATCTTAGACTATATCAACTATCTCGCTAACGACGAAAGGCTAACTAAAACCTAAGTTTATTTTCTACTTTTCAAAAATGTTCTTCCATAAGTATTAGAAATGAAACAAAAACAATTGGTGAAATTGGTCGCAACGTTGTTGAGTAATGCGCTTACCGACACATTTTGAGATTGTTGTTTTATAAATAAAGGTACGTTTTTCTAGGAATTTCCCTCATTACATTCGTTTGTACACAATAAACGTAGTTAGAAAACTATTTATCGGTCTTGTAACTATGTTTATGCTGTACAACAGCCTAATTGACAAGTAACACGTTAGTAACTGTATCTTATTGTCTGCCATCTATTATTGGGATGTAGCGTTGTTTAACGTCACGTGTATTCCTAGAAGAGATAACTCGGCTTGCCCGGAACATTATCAATGCTTCTCACAATTTTGCCAGATTTCGTATGAGTGAAATTTAATAAAGAAATATATATATATTTGTTCCTGAAAATGGCGCCTATATTCAAGTAAGACCACACTGGTGAAAACTGCAATTAATTTTATACTGGAGATTTTGCGTAATATATTATGTAGCTAGGTAAAAACGTACAGATAGCCAAGAACCTAAAAATTTTTGTCGTTTTTACAAAGACCATGTTAGTTTTTTTTCAATATCAGACATTAGCTTCTTAGAATTTATTTGTATCTTACTCAGCCTCATTTTTTTTTTAATACCGAATCAAACTGTTGACGTCCATAATCCTATTATTTAACGCACCTCGTGGATCGCATTTCAACAATTGGCATTACCTACTATCACTCGACCAAATAGACGCCAGTTGGATATTCTCTATCACATTGAGTTTAAAAGCAAATCGATAGAACGAATTGCCACATTGACATGTTCTATTTACAAAATATAGAACATTCAAATATTCAAGAATAAAAATACTACTCTACTATAAAAGAGACAGGACCGAAAGTTATCAAATTGCGGTTTTAAATCATATTATCTAAAAATGGCGAACTTGTATTATTTTCTATATAAAATATGGAACGCTTCGTCGATGCCTCAAAGTTGGTTTTCGAATAATAAATGGTAGCGTCCGCTTGTATTAATTACTCTATGTTTTTTAAATTTAATTAAATTGTTAACCATCCATGACCTATCAAGTTGTATCCCAAAAAGTTACACGTGAAAAAAAAGCCTACCATAGTTCCAATAAAGTTTTTGCTTCCAAGAGAAAATCAACGCATTTGACCGACCTATATCGTGCGATCAAATGGCACGCAAAATCTGCAAAGCGGTTTCGACGAAATCCTGGAAAAATCATGTATTTTTCGAACCACACGTGCAACCGTAGACGTAATAAAATATTGTACCGTCCTCCTTCCAAAAAGACACCAGGAAAAACTTCCAATATGCACTGGGTAGTAACCAATTTTTTTTATTGGCTTATTCTCTTTTTGTGGTATTTTTAAGGTTGACTGCAAAGTGAAGGAAAATTGTATCATTATTTTTTTTAACTATAAAATAAAGTCAATACCAAATCATTTATTTCAATTTAATTAGATAATTATAGACCTTTTTAAACTCGGGGTTATGTGTGTGAAAAATAAACAGAAAAAAGTATACTTATCACTTTTTTCTGTTAATTTTCTATTTTTACTTTTTTCATCAATATAGGTACATTTCTTTTTGATGATCCGGGAGAAACGTTTTAGTGGCTTGCCTATGGTGACTAGACGAGACTATGTCTCTGTGTATGCAGATTCTGTGTTAATCTCTAACACGTGCTATCGTTGTGTAAGCTTGTTACTTAGTAAATAGTTTCTATGGCCTGTAGATGTTACCTCGATAATTTTCAATTTTATTTCCAAAAAACATTCCAAATCTCACACACAACTTCATCAGCTCAAGTACCCATTTCTGAACAAAGGCCTCTTCTCACACGGAGAAGGTTTGAGCATTAATTACCACGCTTACTCAATGCAGGTTGGCGATTTTAAACTTATAATTAGAAACTATAAGTCCAGGTTTCTTCACGATATTTTCCTTTACCGTACGTGAGTATCTAAATAAACAATGGAAGCACATAAAACTCCGCAAAAGTCACTTTAATCTCCGGGCCATCACGACAATCAAATCCAAATCTCATTACCGTGCTAATTTAATAGATTGGTTACGCAATCCTGTAATTTATCATATTAGTAGTTTCAAGAGAATCTGTCAAATATTTAAATAGTCTAAATCGTTTGATGTCGTAATTGAATGAAAGTCGTCGGAAAATACAAGGAGTCTAGTCTTTTCATCAATTGGGTTTATTGGCAAATAATATCGTTAGGAATACCTGAAAACTTTTATAAAAGTATAGGTAGGTTAGTAGTTTGATTATGTAAATAAAGTCTTCGTCGTTTTAAATTATGTTGATTTCAAAATGTTTTTTTATGTGTGACGACGGTTACCTAGCTGACATATTACCTGATGGTAAGCAATTGGTACATGGACGCCCGCAATGTCAAAGGTGTTGGACGTGCCTTTTGGGGATAAGGGGTTATGACTATAGGTTTTCGAAATTTCTACATTTTTAAATGTTTTGTAGTGAATAAGTTCGTTGATATTCTCATTAATGCTGAATAAAATAATTTTTTTTATCTTTCTTTTGATCTTTCTAAAAATAAATCTAAATTTAGAAATTAGATAAAAGTCTATGTAAAAAATCTAGAGAAATTTTATTTTTTCTGTATCTTTTTCCACGAAATTATTTAAATTAATTAATTTTTAACTCAAGCCGATTTTTGCGTTGAATTGGTTTTAGTAAAGCTCACCTATAAACAAATTTTACACCTCGTATTATAAACAAATTTTGGCTCAGGTCAACCTTTCCATATGATTACATTTTCAACTTTATTGTTTAAGAATTAAGTTGAAAATATGATAGGTTGACCTAAGGTCTTAGGTACAATGGTGACCTATGGTGTAGAAAAACAATGTTTACATACACTAACATGTAGGGATCTATAGAACGTGTCAAGCTCTCAATAAATTTATGTATAAAAAATGAATCGGAAATTGGGTACATCAACGCATAACTGAACAACGCTTGGACCAATTTCACCATAATTTTTTTTTCGTTGTGATTATTGATCATGATTGTTATTATTAGAAGAAGCTTGTCATGAGAGAACATTTTTGAAAATAGGAGTGAAAAATCTAGACAAGTACTCGGTCCTTTTCGTCGTTGTCAAGTTAGTAGCCAACCAGTGTGAAGTAGTTCTTGATAAAAAACGTGTAGTAATCATAGTATTATTGTCTGACACAATGTTTATTTGCTCACACTATCACACGTGTCTGGCTTCTAAATACATGCCACTAACAGGCAACACGATTTAGAACGTATTACAATAGTTATTCTTCATTCTTGAATATATTACAAATAAATAGTAAGGGTCCTGTCAGAAATGTATGGATGATAAAGTTTTTTTATTCGGGTATCGGGTTTAGTCAAGAGTTTAATATAACTATTAAGTTGGTTTTTTATGAGGAAAATGGTGCTTAACTTTGGCTTAACTCGGCTTGGGTGTTCAAATTACTTGTTATGTTACATATAGTGTTCTAGTGTATTACATCTGCACTGACCTTTAAATACATTGATAAAGTTATAAATAAAAACTAAAGTACAATATTTGTTTCAGGTTTTTCGCCATCCTCTATCCTTTAAGGCTACCCATCGCTAGAAAGAGAAGCAAGATAATGCTGTCTCTTGCTTGGATCATCGCTCTTCTATGCAGCTTGCCACAGGTGAGAAACAAAAACCGACTTTTGCAGGATTTATAGTATAGATCTACATCTTGTGTTATATTTCGACCCACTAAAGAGGAAAAGAGAATCCAGCAAAACATTACTGCTTAGTTTAAAAACGATAAAACCAGTTGAACTACAGCTTTGTGGAAAGGAGTCTCTCGGTCTTGTAGAAGTATCTAGAATATTATATACAGGGTGTTATTTTGAACGAGGGACAATAAGCCGAATGCAACAACATTTTCCATGGGACCAATATGGTAATCACAAAAGATTTTTTTACTTCTCCGTCCAAGATGATCAATCAGCAGTTACGATATGTATGGGGAAATAAATGTATTATTTGTAATTGGGCACCAAAATCTGCTACTTGAATAATATACCTCGTTCTAAATAGCACCCCGGATATTCTTCTTCATCACCATCAGCCTACAAGTGCCCACTGCTGAGCAAAGGCCTCTTTTCATACCGAGAAGGTTAAAGCATTAATCACCACGCTAGCTCAATGCGGGTTGGCGATTTCAAACTTATAATAACCCACACCCTTATGCATGAGAAGCGGGCTCCTTAAACACCGGACCACAACGACATTTATATAGATATTCTTCTACCATTCCATAAAGAAGACAAATTCTGCCAATAAGTATCTCAAGTCAGGTAGTGGTGACGCAAGTTGTTTTTTAATAACAGATAATTGCAAACAATATTTAAACAAATTAGTTTTAGAACAAAATAGAACAAATTTTAGCTTATGAATTATAATAGGTCTTGATCTTCCCAAGACATATTGTGGTTGGGATGAGGTCAACTACTTATAATCCCTTAAATCAATATCAGAAGTCAGGCTTGCGTATAAGGTTACCTAGTTATAGGCTTCATTATAAATTGCTATTATTTGCCTAAACTTATAAAATGTTTCGATAAGTTATAATCACAGATAAAAAATGCTTAAGTTCGGTTTCGAAGTGCCTTTGATAAGACTTTTTACGCTTAACATTAGGTATGTCAACGTTTTACAAAAAATCTATGTGTATAGAACTTTTGAATACACTCCTTAAATGTATGCAAAAATATTTTAATTATTTCTACTAAGCAAAAAAAAATTATCTTCACGAGTTATTCCATAATAATTATTATAATTATATTATTTTCAAAAAGAGAAAGTGTTCCTTGAAAATTCTCTAGCATTAATTTATCGAAGGTTCGAGAGTTCGTGTTTCAAATTTTCGATCGAACAAAATCGATTTGGGAAAGGGCTCATCGAATAGCCACCGTCGTGGTCGTCGAGACGTTCATTAGGTACATTTCCAAATGAATGACATCCCAAAGGTATTACTTATTTACTACTAAGCACCACTTATATTGTTTACATCAAGCTGTCGAAGCGTAGAAGCGTAAATCGATTGTATTGTAGGTCTAATGATTTTAGGCAAAAGGATTAGGATTTTCCTTACAACAAGGTCTATGACCTGACTCGAAATCTTAAATTTGTACTCGATTAATTATATCGAAGATAGAATCTACTAAAGAACACTTGAGTACTTATTGGGTTAAATTTTTCTAGGTTATTTCGCTACAAATCAGTTCTCTCGGCTTAGGACGTCACTGGACAAAGGATTACATGAGACAGTTCGATTAAGATTTTGATCAATTGCAATAATTCATCGCTTACAGCTCTACATGGAAAGAAATAATGTTTTATTTATTTTGTATATTTTTTATAAAATAAAGTAGTTGCAGTGTTGGTAGCTAGCTGCTATAGGCAACTTGGCTAGGCTGAGCTCTCGTACTCGAGCCTCAGCATTGAGATGATTACTGCCCATTTTGAATTGTAATGACGTAGTGATTTATTTTATTACAATTTTTATATGTTGGTCATAATTATTTGGTAGTGCAAATAAACAGTTTTCTAATCTCAAAATTTAAATGTCATGTTTAATCTGTTAGGCAAATGCCAAACTGTTAGAGTGCGAGAGAAAGAGGTTCATTAACAATATGACTATTTATCTATATATACGACATCTGAGTCCTCCTAAGTGGACCGTTGATATCCTCAGAGCTGTGCTAAGTCGATGGATGGAAGTGCCAAAATATCATTCGACATGGAGGACTAAAGAGGCCTTTGTTCAACAGAGGACGGTTTCCAGCTAATGATGAAGACGATTATTTAGGGAGAGATTTAGTTATTTTCTTCCCTGAATCAAAATCACAATGTAGATTACTTGTCATGTTAATAAAAGATCTTGGATCTTAGTTATTTGACTTTAGTAGTACAGTATACAGTCGGGCAGCTCACGGCACCAGAGTTACATTGTCAATGGTCGGCAGTATGTCGACCATGATATTTATAATAGACAATGAGTTCTAGTGGTTTACTGATTAGTTATATTAATAAGAGATGTTACAACAAATTGGGCATCTATTTTAGTAATATAATATATCTTTATCGAAGTATGAAGTAAGTTGTCTCCGAGTAACAACAAAATACGTGTTGAGAACCTTCTCAGAATTGTAATGTATGAGTTCACCTTTTCAAAGTTTAACTTTGACATTTGTATTCGAAACTAGTGTAATAACTTATTATGTTGGTCATAAAACAGCTCTTAAGGACGTTGTAAATGGATTCAATTTGAATCCTCGTGTAAGCAATCTGTTACTTGATCAATGGTTGTCAAACTATTGTTTTTTTTATTACTATTATTTTTAAGAATGTTTTTTATTTGAGTAGGAAAGTTTGGTTGTGGGTAAGCCATGTTTCGGCATGAATGAGCTGGATCCGTTGGAGTGAAATCACGGCCTCTTAGAAAAGCATCGTGAAAGTACGTTTTTTTTTGTCAGGGGAAAATCCTCACATGACCGCTCCCGCCCAGGGAAGGTGAGAGAGAGAGTCAGACTCTTACTGACTAAAAACCCCCCCTTTCCTTCTCCTGCTCTGGGCTGAGGCCGCGGTGACTCATTGCGGTGAAAGTACGCTTGCATTTTGTTTTGCTGTATGAGTAAGGAAATTCTCCAACCCCAGTTGGCGATCCTCATTCGATTGGCGATTAGCCTCAAGGATCCCAATTTAATCGCTTACCATCAGATGATCTGTCAGTTCTTTTGTAAGGATTTTGCAAAAAAAAGAAGCTGATATGTAGGAGATTCTCTTATTTGTACGGTTTCTTACTACTACTTTCTACTTTCTACTTTATATGCCAATGTATGGCATGGCAAAATTAAATGATGGACACTACCTGCCTCACAAAAAACCGGAGTGGAACAACCACAGCGTTGTGTTTCGCCGTATGAGTGAGGTTACTGGAGGCCCAATATTTCCCCTCCCCCAATCCCTAGATCTCCAAATCTCTAATCCCCATAACGTACTCGTAACTACTCTACTGTTGATAGATAAATCGGTGGTTTATTAGTAAATTCTGTCATAATCCTTTTTTGAAAATCTTACAGCACTGATTAATATTAAACACCTCACTCTATAGACCAACAAAGGCATCGTTGCGTAGGCGAAGCCAGGTACTCAGGTAGTAATTTAAAAGTTTGACAATAACTGTTTTGAATTAATTTCAACAGTTACTATGGAACACTTATTTGTAACAGCTTTCAGTATCGAGTTACCTATTATGGGACCAATTCGAGATTCGGTTTGAATATTAAATTATTACTTTACCATTTTCGCTAACAAAACGTTTAGTAAAAGCCTGGCTTACACAACTAACAGTAAAAGCCTAGGAAGATTTAGTTTTATTAAAATTGGCAATTAATAATAGGATCGGGTATTTAACCACTCGTCAAGCTGGATTGGCAATATCGACGAATTCAGGACCGTGTGTGCAATGGCGTTATTTTTTTTATTCAATAATATAGTAGTTTTAATGCCTAAAATATTCGCGTGTGTCCCTAAATAGTAAAAAAAAGTATTTTTTTTTCTTGGGTCAAGCCCGCCGCAACCTTCCCCAACCGCTGCAACTCCTGTAAGCTAGGATCTACAGCAGATACAACCATGATAACCCCGGATTACTGAAGTCCGGCGTCCCAGGGACATGAATGTCTTGGATTCCGCGATGAAATAAATCAGAAGATATTATTTGAAGAGAAGAAAAAATGAAATATGTAGTTTCCACTAATACTAGTATAAAAAACCTTTGTTTCTGTTCCTATAAATAGAGGCAGTTATTTATGCTTAAAACAGTAAAAGTGGCGTGTTTTTTCACGGAAAACCGGCGTGAAACACCCGCAGCATTGTGTTTCGCCGTGTGAGCGAGGTTACCGGATGCCGAATCCTTTCCCAATGCCAAAATCTCCAAGTCTATAATCCCCAATAGGTCGGCAACGCACTCGTTACTGCTCCGTTGTTGCGGGTGTCCATGGGCAGTGCCAATTGCGTACCATCAGATAATCCGTTTTCTCGTTTGCCGACCTATTACATAATAAAAAGTACGCAACGGATCGCTAGTTAAGTATAATATATCCTGAAATCCACGAATGAAAGTGTGATTCTGTTCGAAATAATTTCCCTTTCACTAAACCAAGTATCCAATCTTGGTGTTTATTACGTTAAACACTCAAATTAGAACTAACAGGAAATATTATAACAAAAATATCTTTCCTAGTAATTTACACATGCTAAACTCATAAGCTGCTTATACAAATTCACTGTACTGAGCAGCTGTAAACAGCGCAGGTCGTCAAACTACCCACACTCACACACAATTATAAAGCTCATATTTATTTGAAGACATATAAGTAATTAGTCTACATTTCTAAATGAAATTCCTAAAACCTCGTATCTAAATTTATTTATTAATTACCTCCCATTTGTGGTTCTTACGGTGGCAAATCTAAAATTGTTTCTAATTATTTCTCGTTAAGGTTCGTTTATATTAGGTGTGATTTTATAATTTATATATCGTGGCAAATGGTTATAGAATATGTACATACGTACCTACTATACATATAGGTATATCGCAATCAACAAGCTTGTTTTTTTTGCGAGATGGGGTCTT